AGAAGAAAAAACACGAAGGATATAAGATTTTACACTGACTTAACATTTGGTGAGTACTTACCATATGCTAGACACCATAATATGTATCAATTTAGTTAACTCTCACAAGGATTCTGTATAGTGCAAGTGGTTATTATTCTCATAAATAATAAAAAAAAGATAAAACAATAGAGTGAAGATCAAAGAAAGCTTTTTTGGCAACATAAATATCTGAACTGAGATTTGGTGATGAATATGGGACAGGAGTAGGGTGAAGCCAGAAGGATGACCTGTATGTGTTCATGGAACAAAAAAGGAAAGAGAAGTAAAGGGCAGAAGGGGACGTGTGCTATGAAATAAAGCTGAATAAGCACCAAAGAGTGGGGTAAGGATTCCAGTTTTTCTAAGAACAGAAAACCACTAAAAGCAGAAAGCCACAGAAAGCAACTGGAGGCTGGGTGCGGTGGCTCATGCCTGTAATCCCAGCACTTTGGGAGGCGGAGACGGGTGGATCACCTGAGCTCAGGAGTTCAAGACCAGCCTGGCCAACATGGTAAAAACAAAATTAGGCATGGTGGCAGGCGCCTGTAATCCCAGCTACTCAGGAGGCTGAGGCAGGAGAATCACTTGAACCCAGGAGGCGGAGGTTGCAGTGAGCCAAGATCACATCATGGCACTCCAGCCTGGGCAACAAAAGTGAAACTTCATCTCAAAAAAAAAAAAAAAAAAAAAAAAAAAGAGAGCAACTTGATTTTGTGTTTTGAAAAGATCACTTGTGCCATAGGGTGGCCCATGCTATAGAAAGAGGGACAATGGTGGACCATCTAAGAGGTGAAGAAAACCTGGGCTGGGGAAGATGCAGAGAAGTAGCAGATGGAGTCAAAAGTATTTAGGAGGTAAAATCCAAAGAACTGAATGAATATAGAGTATGAAGCAAAGGGACAAATTTCAGGTGTCTTGTCTGGGCATTCACTGTTCACTCCAAGGTGTGATGTGAACTCTCCTTCAAAATCCTACCAAGTTCATAGCTTCAGTGCACTTTCCCTAACCATGGGCATTCATTTATGTATCTCCTGGGTAGGAAGATGGCAAAGGGTGGCTATGGCTACCAAAAGTCTAGACTCTAAAAGAGTATCTTCTATGGAACTAGCACACAGTTAATAAATAAATAATTTAAAAGGCATTACACCACACAGAAATTAATAAATAATGGCAATTAGGAGACTAACCTGTGCTCTATTTTGACTAACCAGTTAGCCAAAGGAATGAATTCATGATCCCTTAAAACGGGTATCTCCCCAATGTGCACTTAATAAGTAATCGTTCAGGGAGGACTCCTCACATACTAGTCAGTCTCACTGAGGAACTATGATCAGGACATACATAGTTGGACAGTGGACAGTGACCTACACTGCTGTTAAAAGAGCATACACCCCAGCCAGGCGCAGTGGCTCATACCTGTAATCCCAGCACTTTGGGAGGCTGAGACAGGTGGATCACACGAGGTCAGCAGTTCAAGACCAGCCTGGTCAACATGACGAAACCCCATCTCTACTAAAAATACAAAAATTACCCGGGTGTGGTGGTGGGCACCTGTAGTCCCAGCTACTTGGGAGGCTGAAGCAGGAGAATCACTTGAACCTGGGAGGCGGGGGTTGCAGTGAGCTGAGATCGCGCCATTGCGCTTCAGCCTGGGCAACAAGAGCAAAACTCTGTCTCGATAACAAAACTAAACAAACAAACAAACAAAACAAAAAAAGGGCATATGCCAGCTACCGAAAGCAGTCATTCTAGACTTCCGTTTATAAATTTCAGTAAAAACAAAAGGGCCACATGAGGACTAGCCAGACTGAAAGGAGATTAAGACTGACAATCAGAGCACACAGTGCCCATGCAAACCAATTCAATACAGGAAAGAGAAAATTGTATTAAAATCTAACAAGAGCAGGCTGTGAAAGAAAAGAGAAGTAAATAGAAAACAAAATGCCAATTTTGGTATTTTTATACATATCCTTATATATGCACTGCATACCTCTACAATAGTATGGAAAGAAACTGTACTTTTCACTGAGTATATTTTTGAAAATGTTTTTATCACATGCATTGATTCTCTACTTAAACACAAATATTTTAAAGAAACACACATCTCCACCATACCCACAACAACTCAATAGAAGCATCAAACAGAAGGGAAACTAGTGAATGCCAAATCGGTGAATCAGAAGACTGGTTTGAGGAACTCTCTCAGAATCTACAGCAGAAAGGGTTAAAAGCTGGAAAACAAAAATAAACAACAAGGAGCATAAGTGTTTAAAATGGATTGTCAATAGGAGTTCCACAATGAGAAGCAATATCAAAGAAAAACAAGTTTTCCTGAGCTAAAGAAAGGCTTGATTCTTGGGATCGACATGCATTCCTTAAAAGACAGGAATGTTGGAAGAAAAAAGCCCTCCAAGAGTTCCAGTGGGAAGTGTGTGGGAAAGCCCACCAATAACTACATTCTTTATATACAAAAGAGAATCGGACTGGTATCTAACCTTTCACATGGAGCAGTAAATGCAAGCAGACAATGGACAATGTGGAAGATACCAGGTAATGCAAAATATTAACACAGAGAGAACAAAAGGATATTAGCAGACATGCAGCTCAGAATAACAATCCATAGAAAGTTTCTTTGTTGTAAAAAAAAAAAAAAAAAAAAAAATACCAAACAAATTTAATAGTGTTGAGTTGTAAAATAAGAACTCAGGGCCAGGACCGGTGACTCACGCCTGTAATCCCAGCACTTTGGGAAGTTGAGGCGGGAGGATCACTTGAGGTCAGTTAGAGACCAGCCTGGCCAACTTAGTGAAACCCCATCTCTACTAAAAAAATACAAAACTTAGCTGGGTGTGGTGGCACACGCCTGTAATCCCAGCTATTTGGGAGACTGAGGCAGGAGAATCACTTGAACCTGGGAGGCGGAGGTTGAAGTGAGCCGAGATCATGCCATGCACTCCAGCCTGGGTGACAGAGCAAGACTCTGTGTCAAAAAAGAAAAAAAAAAAAAAAAAAGGAAAAACTGAGTTTTATCTAAGTCAACATTGTAAATAAAGCTGCTCCTAAGGGATAATTTAAACCCCAAATTAGATAAAACTTGGAAAATGGGACAAAGGGAGAAAAGTAAAAAGATACGTTAAGACTTTTAGGCATAGCGAAGGTAGCTTGTATTTATTTGGGTCTTGGAAAATTAAAAACATCTATGAACCCCCTTCCCAAATGTTTCCGTATGTAAATAAAAATAGCTTATAACTTCAGGGGATCGAGACTCCCTGAAACCTACCATGAACTCCATGTAATGAATCTATTATAGATAATGGCTAATTATTCCAACTGATAATTGATACAGAGAAATACAGTTGTTTGAAATTTAAGGTTTCTAAAAATGCAAGAAAGTTTTAATATTAGAAAATCAATTTAATAAGTATAATTTACATATTAAAAGCAAAGGAAAGGCTGGGAGCAGTGGCTCATGCCTGTAATTCCAGCACTTTGGGAGGCCGAGGCAGGCGGATCACCTGAGGTCAGGAGTTGGAGATCAGCCTGGTCAACATGATGAAACCCCTATTCAAAATACAAAATACAAAAATTAGCTGGCATGGTGGTGCATGCCTGTCATCCCAGCTACTCAGGAGGCTGAGGCAGGAGAATCACTTGAACCCAGGAGGCAGAGGCTGCAGTGAGCCAAGATTGCGCCATTGCACTCCAGCCTGAGTAACAATTGTAAAACTCCGTCCAGCAAAGGAAAGTCTAGAAAAGAAAGCAGATCAGAGGTTGCCTAGGACTAGGGGTCGTAGGCAGCTACTGACTAACGTCCACAAAAAAGCTTCTCGAGTTGATGGAATTGTTAGAATACTGGACTGTGGTGATGGATACACAACTTTCATTATACTGCACACTTACAGTGGGTGAATTTTATAGTATGTAACTTATACCCAATAAAGTTAAAAGTTAACAGGTTAAACTTATACCCCAAAACTTATACCCTTCATCCCAATTACTATAATCTTCTAGTTTCCATTGTGCCTGTTGATATCAACTCCTGAGCCTTTTAGGAGTTTAGGGTAAAAGTCAAGTTACATCTTGGCTTTTCCCACTGCCTACTTAGGTTGCGGCTCTCAACTTTGCCAAGTCATTTAAAGTCATGTATTTGCTTTTCAGGCTTCCAAACTGTGTTGATGCTGTCTCCTTTCCAAATCTACTTTGTCCTCTATGGGTTTACGTATTTTTTTAAAAGTCCCTCTCATATAGTTTTGATAGGATTTATCAACAGGAAGGAAAAGTAAAAGCATGTCCAGTTTGCTATATTTACCCAATGGTTTAAATTTAATGTTGACTTTCTAAGCTGCTTTCAGTTGGGCATTCTTCCTTATGGCTGTTTTTATATTTTAATCTCCAAATGAAAAAACCAAGAGTCAGATATGAAAATATGACATAAGAGTGAAAAAGCAGGGGGGAGGATAAACGCATCCATGAGGAATTAAAAAACAACAGCAACAAGGCTAGAGAGTGGAAGACAAGATAGAAATCAATCTGAGACAGAACTAGAAAGAGGTGGGGGAGAGGGGAGGAAGGGAGTGTCGGAGGTAGAGAGAACGAATGGATTTCTTAGATTTAAAGAGAGTTGACTCTTCAGATTCACAAGGTCCACAGAGAAACACTCAGAGGAAAAACCAAACCAAACCAAAAAACAAACAAACAACGACAACAACAACAAACCAGTGTGGTCACATTTGTGAATTCCAGGAACAGAGAATTCAAAATAAAAGCTTCCAGAGAGAAAAGTGACTGAGAATCAGACTGGCACCAGCAACCCCAGTATATCAGAAGAACAAAAAGCAGTAACTTCAAAATTCTATATAAAAAAGACTCTTAATTTGGAAATATATAGCCAACCAACCAGTCAAGCAATCAAGAAAACATAGGTTCACTAAGAAGATTTGTCACCTACCTTTTCCATGTATTTTATTTTTTAATTACAAAGATCCACTCAAGTAAAATTGGGAGGAGTGGAAAGAATCAACTGAGAGGTACATACTGGAAACAAGAAACAGGAATCTGAGGATCTCTGAATAGATTAGTGAGAGATAATGGACCACGGTAGTAGGGGTGGTCAGAGGTCAAATTCTGCACCTAGTTTGAAAGCAGAGCTGATAGGTTAGGATCACATGAGGTGAGAGAGAGAGGGAGGAATTAAGGATGGCTCCAAGGTGTTTGGTCTTACCAACTAGAATAGAGCTGTCAATTGATTAGATGGGAAAGGCTGATGGAGGAACAGGTTTAGGGGATGCTGAATTGAGATTCTAAGCAGACATCCCTACAAGTAGAGATGTTAAAGAGGCAATGTGATATACAAGTCAGGAGTTAGAGGAGAAATCCAGGCTAGAGATAGGAGTCAATGATATACAGGTAGTATTTAAAACCAGGAACTAGATGGATGAGATCATCAAAAGAACGCAGATGACTAAACAAATGCTAACAGACAGAGGGAGAAAAGGGGAGGTAACTGAGCCCTGGAGCTCTCCAACATTTGGCGGCTTCGGAGTTGAATCAACACAACAAAGGAGATTGAGAGGTAACCAGTGAGATATGAGGAAAAAAATGGCATACGATCAAGTGAAGAAAATGCTTCACAGAGCACAGAGCAATTGTGCCATGTAATGCTGACTGGTGAAGTAGAATGAGACCAAGAACTGACTACTGGATTTGGCAACATGGAAATCTTTGGTAACTCTGATAAGAAAACTTCATATGTAGGAATAAAAACCTTAGTAAAGAGGGCTCAGAAATGAATGAACACCAGTGGTGTAGACAACTTCAAGGAGTTTTGTTATAAAGGGAAGGATAGAAATGGGGCAATCGTTAGAAAAGAGGAAATGCAGTTCAAGTACAGTGGAGTTTTTTTGGTTGTTCTTAAGATAGAAGAAATAATCGCCTGTCTGTAAGCAGACAGAAAGATGCGTTAGGCAAGGAAAAACTGAGGAGAGTAGAGAACTGCTGGAGCAATGTCCTTGACTCACCAAGAGGGGACGAATACTGCACAAGCGGAAGGGTGGTCTTAGACAGACGTAAGAACAGTTTATCCATATTTACCAGAAAAAAAAAAAAAATAGAAGTTTGGGGGAAGGATACAGGTAATTGGGTATATGAAGGGTAAGTTTATCAAAATTATCTTTTGTTTGCTGTTCTTTTCTCAGTTAACTATTATAGAAAGCACGGTTAAAGGGCTGAAATTGAAGATGGGGGAGGAAGTGTTGGAGGCTTGAGGAAAACGAATGGAACAGCCATGTAGAAAAGTGAAATGGATTATGGAAGTATAGTGTGACTGCTAGGAAGTGACCATGACTGCTGAGGCTAGCGAACATAAATTTAGAGTGAGGCTGGTCAGCACATCTGTGCTGATATAATCAGGGTTGTGATTTCTTGTATAAGACAGCAAGAGGGGTAGGGTAGGGGCTGGGGGTATGTGTACTGACTGTCACGGTGGCTCATGGAGTTGAAGCAGGATAAAGAGGGAAGTAAAGTTATGAGGGGAATGAGAGGACAGTGAAAGGCAGTAAGATGATGGTACACTACAGTAGGTGTGAATGACTGACAGAGTTGGGCTACTAGAGAGACTGAGCACCTAGACAGAGAGGGAGATGGTGGTGGGAAATAACACAGGACAGCTATTCTCTATTAAGCACCAACATTAAACTAGTTACTTCTTTTACATCACCTCATTTAATTATCAGAAGGACTCTGAAAGATGGGCATTATTATCCATTCCTATTGAAAAGATGAAGAAGTTAAAGCTAAGGTTAAATAACTTGTCCAAGACCAAAAAGCTGCTAAGTATTCCAACTGGCATTTTGGGTCACATTTTCTTTCAGAAACAAACAAACAAAAAACCCTACCAAACTAGAATAAGGCCCTTGGGAATAAATTATTTTATAGACCAACTCACACTTTGTCCACTAAAAAATCTGCTGGACACTGTGGCTCAAATCTGTAATCCCAGCACTTTGGGAGGCCGAGGCAGGCAGATCACTTGAGCCCAGGAGTTAGAGACCGACCTGGGCAACATGGCGAAACTCTGTATCTACCAAAAATAGAAAATTAGCTGGGTGTGGTGGTGTGTGCCTGTAGTACCAACTACTTGGGAGGCTGAGGCGGGAGGATTACCTGAGCCCAGGGAGGTCAAGACTACAGTGAGCTGTGATTGTGCCACTGCACGCCAGCCTGGGCGACAGAGTGAGACTCTTGTCTCAAAACAACAACAACAAAATTGACTTCAGTGATATCTGGTTTTTAAAACAGCTAATTAATATACAGCATCATGAGAGAAAGGCAAATTGTTTCTATAGCAAGCATCTTCTAGCATGGAGTAATTAAATTCAAGTTAAACTATCTGTAGTTATTGCTATTATTACTGTGGCACTGAGTTAAATACAAAACTCTTGCTATGTATCATGCACAGATAAGATTTCTTTTTTCTTTCTACCTCCTTCCTTCTACTATTTTTTTCTTCAGTTTTATGCTGTTTTCTCTACTTCCGACTTAGAAAGTCATGGCTTACCTTACTTACCCCTACTAGAAAATGAACAGTTTTTGACACCTGACTTCAGACTCCCAGAATTACCAAGTATTTCTGTGGACAATGTAACAATAATAAACTGTTTCCAAGGTTCCAAGTTCTGGCAACATCACTAAATAGGGCAACAAAAAGAAACCAAGGCTTGAAGTTTCACTAGATCTTTGTCATTTTAGGTAGTAATTTTGTGAATTGCTACATTTAGATCCCCAATAATGCAAGAAATCAAATAAAGCACCCCACAGGTATTTTATCCATCACACAGAGTTCTTCCACTCTCTTCAATAAGGTCACAGTTTATGACTACGTGACTAACATCAAAAAGTAGATAAATTATGCCAGTGAGCCAGACTTAGCAGATGATTAAAGAAATCTGTTAACAATTTACTTGTTCTTATATCCTTCCACTAATCTCTTGATTTTAAGAACAACTTATTTTAAAGGCAAGTGGCTTATATAATCATTCTTCACAAAGTCTCTTTTCACAATGCAGTAGCAACCTGGTTTTCATTTGAATGATTATCCAGGTAAGCTAACTAAATATAAGAATTTATTTTTGATAGGAGTTTCACTCATTTTAGCCTATTTAGGCATCCTATTCAATTACAGACACAGGTGCAAACACAACTGGAACTATTCCATAAAACATTCATACATGTCACCACTGTGTAATTTCCTCCTACATCCTGAATGGAGGCTTCCTTTAAACTTTAAATGAAAATTATAATTGAGCTTGAGTCAGAAAGAGTTTACCTCCCCAATAATGTTAATTATGTCACTAGATTTCATCCTCTTGTATCCCTACTCATTGAAATTCTTCAAGATTTCTTTAATGTGAGGGAGGATATTTTAATTTTATAGGGAAATGCAATTGTTAACATGGAAAAGCATTATTTGGAGGTATCTCTAAGACACTTCTACAAGAACAATAAGCTAAAATGCTAAATCATTTCCATTTACTCACTCATTAACTAAACATCCTTTCCTCCCAGGAGCTCAGAGTCTGGAGGTGAGGGGGAACGTGAAGACAGACAATAAACACATATGCAAATAAGCAAAGAAGATTAAGTGTAAGTCATGATCAGTGCTGAGAAGAAAATAAATTCAGAGCTGTGACACAGACTACAAACTGCAACAAACGGCATAAACAAACTGCAACACAGATCATCTATAAACATACTTAGCAGATTGACATGAAAGCCTTTCTAGGTTGCCTTTATGACTTCTTGACATATGCTTAGGTTCCAAGGATCAAAGCCCCTCAAACTTACCTGTTTCACTTGATAGAACTAAAGCTAGTCTGTGACATCTCTAGCAGAAAATAAAGCACATCATCCATTTCACAGCACTTCTGCAATTAGGTTTTTGATTATATGGTGTGATAACTTATCCACACTGAAACATTTTCAAGAGAGAAACAGATTATTATTATTATTATTATTTGTGTGTGTGTGTGTGTGTGTGTTTTAAGACACAGTCTCGCTGTGTTGCCCGGGCTAGAGTACAGTGACGCGACCTTGGCTCACTCTAACCTCCTCCGCCTTTCGAGTTCAAGTGATTCTCTTGCCTTAGCCTCTCAAGTAGCTGGGATTACAGACATGCACCAGCATGCCTGGCTAATTTTTGTATTTTTAGTAGAGACGGGGTTTCACCATGTTGGCTAGATTGGTCTCGAACTTCTGACTTCAGGGGATTTGCCTGCCTCAGCCTCCAGAAGTGCTGGGATTACAGGCTACTGTTACTTTGTAAGAGAAGGTTTTGTTCTATGTCTCAGGCTGGAGAGCAGTGGCATGATCACAGCTCCTCTTGGGCTCAAGCAATCCCCCCTTGCCTCAGCCTCCCAAGTGGTCGAGACGACAGGCATGCATGCCACCATGCTTGGCTAATTTACTTTTTATAATTTTTTGTAGAAATGGAGTCTCCCTATATTGCTGAGGCTGGTTTTGAACTCCTGGGCTCAAGCAATACTCCGGCCTCGACCTTTTGGAAATGTTGTTGGGATTACAGGCCTGAGTCACCCTGCCTAGCTGGGATGTTTTTAATAATTATGCCAGAACAGGCACAAACAAGGACTTTCCACCAGGGCATACTAGGCCATATGGTCACCCTAATTATATACCACATCAAATGTAAATAGTCCAAACTTTCAAGAGTAGTTCATAGTTCCAGATACATTTAAATTATAATATCCAAGCCCTACATTATAATATGGACCGTATAAACCAAGTGAATCCCTTACTAAATGTAAAGCTCTGAACATCTCACATTGTACACAAAATCAATTTCAGATGCATTATAAACCTCAATGTGAAAAAGCAAAGCACAAAAAGGTTTAAAGATAATCAAAGTATCTCCATGATGTTTTAAAAAAAAAACACTAGCCATAAAAAATTGATGAACATGTTTACATTAAAACGAAGAACTTCTGTTCATTAAAAGAAACTACTAAATGGGAAAAAAATGTTTGCAATATATACATCCAACAAAGGATACATATTCAGAATACAAAACTCTAGAAAAAGATATGTGTTTCAATTTAAAAAAGGCAAAAGATTTCAAAGACACTTCATGAAAAATGAAATCCAAAGACCCAGATATGAAAAGGTGCATCATTTAGTGATGAGGGAAATGATTAAAACTAAATACAACTATATACCCACCAGGATTATATAGACTTGAAATATATGATACTAAGTATGGTTGTTGGTAAGGGATATGAAACAAGAACTCTTACATACTAATAAATGAAGTAAAAACCAGTAAACAACTACTTTGGAAAACTACTTGGCATTACCTGATAAAGACAAACATTCCCCATGTTCTTGCAATTCAAATTCTAAGTATATAACCTCAAGAAAACTACATAAACATGCATCAGTGCACTTAAACAGGAATGTTCATAAAAGCACTGTTTATAATAGCCCCAAACTGCAAACAATCTAAATGCAATATCCAAAACAATGGCAGAAGGAATAAACTTGTGTTATAGTCATGATGGAATACTATGAAACAATAAAAGCTAAAAATAAAATATATACAAGATAATCTTATTTACATAAAGTTAAAAAATGGGCAAAATTAAACTCTATTTAGAGATGTAACCTTACATGGTAAAACTATAAATGTCAGAAAAACATTTATATCTAGCTTAAATTAAGATGGTGATAGTTGTGATGGAAAAATATAGGTGGTGCGAGGCTTCTGGGATGTTGGCAATGTCTGCCTTGCCCTAGGTGATAGTTACAAAGAGTTACAAAGATGTGTGTTTAAAAATATTTCATTTTTATCTTATGTATCTTTTCAGCCTGTGTAGTTAGGTTTCACAATAACACTCCCCAATAAATTAAAAAAAAAAAAAAAGTTCAAAAAAGAATTCTAAGAATGTTACTCAAAGAGATTAACTCTTAATCCATAGTTTAAAAAGAGGAACAGGGATCTCTACATCCAAATACACGCTGTATTATAAATTCCACGAACAAACTTTTGGCTTTAGGCTGGGTGCAGTGCCTCACGGCTGTAATCCCAACACTTTGGGAGCCAAGGTGGGTGGATCATTTCAGGTCAGCAGTTTGAGACCAGCCTGACCAACATGGTGAAACCCCGTCTCTACCAAAAACACAAAAATTAGCCAGCTGTGGTGGGCGCCTATAGTCCCAGCTACTTGGGAGGCTGTGGTAGGAGAATTGCTTGAACCCTGGAGGTGGAGGCTGCAGTGAACCGAGATCGCGCCACTGCACTCCAGCCTGGGCAAGAGCAAGACTCTTCCTCAAAACGACAATGATAACAACAACAACAAAAACACAAACAAAACAAATGAAAACACTTTTGGCTTTACTCTTTTAGACTACCATTCTTCATTCAAATTTTGAAATGGAAGGTGAAATTTTCTGATACCGAATTACTCAACCGCTCCCGGCTGCTCGCAGAGAGGCAGATCCCACGCCGCTGTCGTGGGATGTAAAATTTACATGTAAATTTTAAAATTTTAAGACTGAACTCCTCGCTTCTAATCTTGAAATCTGTAGTAAGTGTCCAGTATTGACTAGACAGTTATAATGTAGTTTTTGATTAGATAATATGTAGAATAATATATAAAGGTTGGATAATGTCAGTTTTTGCAAACATAATCAAATTCCTCAAACCTGTTACATGTTTAACTCATGTTGCTTAAGAAAAAGCAGCTGGGTACAATGGCTCATGCCTGTAATCCCAGCATTTTGGGAGGCTGAGGCAGGGGCATCACTTGAGGTCAAGAGTTCAAGATCAGCCTGGCCAATATGGTGAAAAGCCTGTCTCGACTAAAAAATACAAAAATTAGCCAGGCGTGATGGCACGCACCAGTAATCCCAGCTACTCAGGAGGCTGAGGCAGGAGAATTGCTTGAACTTGGGAGGCAGAGGTTACAGGGAGCCAGGATTGCGCCACTGCACTGTGGCCTGGGCAACAGAGTGAGACTCCATCTCAAAAAAAAAGCATATAATGATGTGGGATGAAATATCAAAGCCATGAATACAAACATAAATTCAATGATTAAAAATTTTTTTTCACTGCTATATTCAAATATTTATCAAGTCATGACACGAAGAACAAATTTATATTTTATGTCATATGAATTTAACTATTACAGACTAATGAAATACTGACTCCAAAAGCTGCTGAAAAGTTTTTAAAATGTGGGTTGTTAAAATGTAGACTTTTGGGGTTCCTGCATAAAAGGATATGTTCACAGTTTTTAAAAAATAACAAAAACACTCTAAAAAGTTTCAAATGTATGTTTTTTTTTCTTTGTGAGGAATAAAGGTAACACAGCCAACTTATTGAGTCACTAAGCTGGCAAGACACCTTTCAATTCAGATTAGGTAAAGCAATACTTTAAAAAATGTATTAAACCACTTTAATGAGAAATTATTTTCAACCCATATCTGGCTCTCACCCAGCACTTTTCATAATTTCATAAAGACAGGTTTTTTTTTTATAATTGCATAAAGCCAGAAAAACACTATACAGCTAAATAACTATTATACAAAAAATATAAAAATAAATTCAAAATAAGGCCAAGCAAAAACTAAGTTACTTAAGAAACATCACTGGGAAAGTCTTAAACACCAAATACCATCACGCATTCTATAGTGGATTTCTAAAAAGACACTGAAGCGCTAAGTCTACAGGTGTTTTAATGAGGTAATGTGTCATAATACAATGTTTCACAAGGTAAACAGGGAAATGTCGGGGTACTCCCTGGTTTTTCATACTACTTTTAAAATTAGACTTGGTGACTTTAAAAAGTCTATAATTCAATGATCTTCAGCAAATTTGCAGAGCTGTGCAACTATCACCATCTTGTACTACTCCTTTATGGTGTACAGTTCTAAAACATCAAAAGGTTCCCTAGCCAGGTATAAGATTTGTCCCAACGCCAGGGCTAGTAAAAAGATTTACCTGAGGCTGGGCGCGGTGGCTCACGCCTGTAATCCCAGCACTCTGGGAGGCCGAGGCGGGTGGATCACCGGAGGTTAGGAGTTCGAGACCAGCCTGGCCAACATGATGAAACCCTGTCTCTACTAAAAATACCAAATTAGCCGGGCGTGGTGGCGGGCCCCTATAATCCCAGGTACTTGGGATGCTGAGGCAGGAGAATCACTTGAACCCGGGAGGCGGAGATTGCAGTGAGCCGAGATCATGTCATTGCATGATCTAAAGAGCTAAACAACATCTCAGAAAAATAAATAAATAAAGGATTTACCAGAGCATCCAACAAGTATTATTAAATACTTGATCCCGTGAAACCACTTCCCTATCAGTTAACGATTTTTAAAAGTTTACAGATTTCAAAAATCTTCTTCTTTATCCTTGGACCTAACCTACCCAGAGGGTCCCTAACCATGCTATGCAGCTCCCACCTCTACCAGAAGTGCTGGGAAAATCACCTAGGTTATCTAGCTTCCCCCAAAGTATTTTACACTGTTGTGAGATTTCCTTTAAGATTCAGGAGCTAGTTTATTTACTTTCTGGTTCCTGGCAGAGCAAAGGCCCTGCACGTGTGAACGGAAACAAAACCCACACAGACTCTAGCGATGCCAAATATTAATACTATGGGTAGGGGCACCTTCCTTCTCGGCCGAATTCCCTTTCCCAGAGAGCCTCCAGAGGGATCAGTCAACGCCCACTGAGCCTGGATCAAAGGTCAAGCTTGCCTGGTCAGGAAGGATCCTGGATCAAGCTTGAGCCCGTTTCCAGAAACAGGGGAGTCGGGGCAGCAGCAAGCATTTTTACCACGCGCCCTAATGAGATGGTTGCACAACAGGCTTTGAGGATTCCGGTTTAACAGGTAAATACCAACAGAGAATGAGCCGAGGGAGATGGGATCTGCTCCACGGCATCGATGGCATTTCGAGAATGTCTGCGTCGCAGAGCAAACCCAAAGTTTTAGCACATTACTCAGAGTTCACCAGAGGAAGATTGCCACGAATTGAAATGAACAAAGTGAGAAAATGGGTGCTGTGTAGTCAATGCATCCGCGATGAACTCAAGCTGGGCGGAAAAATTCTTTGAATACTCCGGCTTTGTTTTGTGCTAAGACGACAGAAGCCCCGAATTTCGGAGTTGGAAGACGCGTTTCTCCGTGTTCTCCAGCCCGTTCTCGGACTTCAGGGCCGCCCGCCCGCCGCGCACTCAGTCCCGTAGTTCCCCGGGCTTCAGGCGCGGACCTTCCAGGGGGGCGGAAGCCAGGGAGCCGCGGGGAGGCCGCGGTCCGGCCCGCGACGCCGGGGCCCGGAGAAGGGAGGGGAGAGGGGAAAGGCCTGCCGGAGCTCGACGGAGGGAGGGAAGGGAACGAGGAGGCCGCGGGCCGGAGCGGGGAGCAGCCCCGAGCGGCGTCCGGCCCGGCCCCCACCCCGAGGCCCGGTCCCGCGTACCTTTGGCAAGGGCTACGGTGGAGTTTTCGGTGTCGATGGTGTAGAGGATGCCCTCGTAGCGGATCTCCGCCTTGGAGATGAGGCTGATCTTGCTGCCGATGTAAGGGGTGCCCCCGCTCATGGCGCCGCCGCCGCCGCTCCCGGCTGCTCGCAGAGAGGCAGATCCCACGCCGCTGTCGCCCGCTCCGCACGCCCGCTAGCTCCGTCGACACCTACAGCAGCCGCTTCAGACCCAACATGGCGGCGGCGCCGGGTCCGCTACCCTCCCCCAGCCTCCCGCCCTCAAGCCGCGGCGCGGCGGCGGCGGCAGCGGCAGCGGCGGCGGCGCGGGGCATGCTGGGAGGAGTAGGCCGCGCTGTCGCGAGACTTGGCCGACGGCTGGCGGCTCCCGGTTCCTGGCTCCCGGCTCCTTTGCGGTCTCGGGAGTCCTGGCAGCGCCTATTGGCTTGGGCTACGGCGGTGGTCCTGGGGCCGCGTGAGAGGAACTTTGGGGACCGGCTGCGTGCCTCGTGGCACCGCTTGCTGCGGGCTGGAGAGGAGGCGCGCGGCCCTCCTTTTGATTCAGGCCTTGGCCGCCTTGTCGTGGGTCCTGTGTCTTTGCCGACGCGGGGCCCTCCGCCTGGAGCGCTGCCCACCCGCCTCCGAGTTGTGGCGAGCCGCTGCTCATCCTTTTAAGACACTGAACCTGCACCTCGTGGAGCTCCTACGGCTCTATTACCGCAGCCATCGTCCAGGGAGCTTCCCCCGAGGCTGCCCCTGGAGCTGGGGCTCTCCCGACGACTGAGTGTTTTAGTCCCTTCCTGTCCCTCTCATTCAGCCGGTCTGAACCAGCTTCATGGCTTGCAACGCCATTGTAACTCACCAATCCCAATTATCAGTCTGTAGCTTGGATCAATTCCGTGAACTCGGGTTTCGCGCCCAGCCTCCGTCGAATCTCCAACGTTAAGGGTCCAAAGCCATGCTCCCTATTTCCCCTCTAACCTGCTCCTTCACCACCGTTCCCTGTTGATGTAACCGGTACCATTTTTACTCAGCTGCTCAGACTAAAAGCCTTGAGTCAGTCTTGACCTCTGTCTTGCTTCCACATCTGTTCTGACTACACCTCTCCGTTATATCTACACAATATATCCTAAATCTGACCTCTTCTCCTCATCTCCATCCCTACACCTCTCCCACAAACCACGATTACTCGGGCTGAATTATTGCAGTAGCCTTCTGAAAGTTGCTTCTGTGTCAACCCTTGCCCCCAGTACTTTATTCTCAACACAGCAGCTAGAGAGATCTTGTTAAAATCTAACTCAGGGCTGGGCGCGGTGGCTCACGCCTGTAATCCCAGTACTTTGGAAGCCCGAGGCGGGCGGATCACAGGTCAGGAGTTGGAGACCAGCCTGGCCAACATGGTGAAACCCCGTCTCTACTAAAAATACAAAAAAATTAGCCGGGCATGGTGGCGCGCGCCTATAGTCCCAGCTACTTGGGAGGCTGAGGCAGGAGAATTGCTTGAACCCAGGAGGCGGAGGTTGTGGTGAGCCGGGATTGTGCCACTGCACTCCAGTCTGGGCGACAGAGCGAGACTGTCTCAAAAAAGAAAAAAGGCCGGGCGCGGTGGCTCAAGCCTGTAATCCCAGCACTTTGGGAGGCCGAGACGGGCAGATCACGAGGTCAGGAGATCGAGACCATCCTGGCTAACACGGTGAAACCCCGTCTCTACTAAAAAATACAAAAAACTAGCCGGGCGAGGTGGCCGGCGCCTGTAGTCCCAGCTACTCTGGAGGCTGAGGCAGGAGAATGGCGTGAACCTGGGAGGCGGAGCTTGCAGTAAGCTGAGATCTGGCCACTGCACTCCAGCCTGGGCGACAGAGCGAGACTCCGTCTCAAAAAAAAAAAAAAAAATCTAACTCTGATCATGTTCTTCCTCTACTCACTCTGCTGATCCCATGTTACACAGAGAGAAAACCAGACTTTGGCTTCTAAGGATATACATGATTTAGCTTCTCGTTCTATTCCAGTCACGTCTAATTCAACCAGTACTTGAGCACTTTATTCCAGCATCTGCTCGAGTATCACCTCCAGATATGACGTCCCTGACAGCCTTGTTTAAAATAATACCACTCACATCACTCTACATCTCCTTAACTCAGCTTGCATTTTCTTCATAGCATGTATCTCTCTCAAGTATGTCTGTTTAATTATTTGTATGTGTCTGTCTTCTTCACTAGAATGTAAACATTTTGAGAGAGAGATGTTGTTTTGGTCACTGCTGTATCATCAGGGCCTAGAACAGCACCTGGCTCTGGGCAGCTGCTCAGTTAATATTTGCTGCATGAATGAACAGCAGGATGAAGGCAGAGCACAGGCAGGATGGTGGTGAGCTGAGTGAGCAAATGGCGAGAAGTCTGACATCATAAGAGAGGGACACAGGAGAGAGACAGAGCTCTGATGGGGCTGGTGCACAGTGGCTACAAAGAAAGGTTTGGAAATCCCTGTTTCAGTACAAGGTCCTTGCGAGGAAGTTGAATTCTTTGTTTTTGTTTTTTTGAGACAGTCTCACTCTGTCACCTGGGATGGAGTACAGTGGTACCATCTGGTTGCTCACTGCAACCTCCGCCTCGTGGGTTCATGCCATTCTCTTGCCTCAGCCTCCCGAGTAGCTGGGATTACAGGTGCACGCCACCACGCCTGACTAATTTTTTGTATTTTTAGTAGAGATGGGGCTTCACCATGTTGGCCAGGCTGGTCTCAAACTCCTGGCCTCAAGTTATCCACTTGCCTTGGCCTTCCAAAGTGCTGGGTTTACAGGCGTGAGCCACCGTGCTCGGCAATTCTTTCAAGGCTAAATAATATCCCTTTGTAGGGACAGACTGTATTTTGTTTATCCATTAATCAGTTGATGAACATTTGGGTTGTTTTCACTTCTGCTATTGTAAATATCCATGAATACCTCTATGAACAAGTTTTTGTGGGAACATGTGTTTTCAATCCTCCTAGGAATAAAGTAGTTGAGCCATATAGTAACTTAGAGTTTAACTTCTTGAGGAACTGTCAAACTATTTTCCAAAGCAGCTACACTGTTTTACTTTTCCACTGGCAATTGTATGAGGGCTCCAATTTTCTCCACATCCTCACCAACACCTGTTATTGTTTATCTTTTTTTATTTGTTTGAGATGGTGTTTTGCTCTTGTTGCTTAGGCTGGAGTGCAATGGTGCGATCTCGGCTCACCGCAACCTCCACCTCCTGGGTTCAAGAGATTCTCCTGCCTCAGTCTCCCAGTAGCTGGGATTACAGGCATGCATCACCACATCTGGCTAATTTTGTATTTTTAGTAGAGTCAGAGTTTCTCCATGTTGGTCAGGCTGGTCTCAAACTCCTGACCTCAGGTGATCTGCCCGCCTTGGCCTCCCAAAGTGCTGGGATTACAGGCATGAGCCACCGCGTCTGGCCGTTTGTCTGTCTTTTTGAGACAGGGTGTCACTCTGTCAACCAGGCCGGAGTGCAGTGGCCCTATCATGGCTCACTGCAGCCTTCCTGGGCTCAAGCAATCCTTCACCTCAGCCTCCCAGGTAGCTGGGACCACAGGTACGCCCAGATAATTTTTGTATTTTTTTGTAGAGACAGGGCCTTGCCATGTTGCCCAGGTTGGTCTCAAATGCCTGGACTCAAGTGAGCCTCTCGCCTTGGCTTCCCGGAGTGCTGGAATTACAGGCGTGAGCCCCACACCCAGTCGACCACTTTTAAATTGGGCAATTTTCCTTTTTATTGTTGAGTGGAAAGAGTTCTTTTATATATTCTAGATACAAATCTCTAATCAGATCTACAATCTGCAAATAGTATCTCTCATTCAGTGGGCTGGTTGTCTTTTCACTTTCTTGATAGTGTCCTTTGAAGCACAAAAGTTTTTAATTTTTATAAAGTCCAGTTTATTCATTTTTGTTGTTGTTGTTTGCACTTTTGGTGCAACAACTTTTGGTGCAATAAAGCATTGCCTAATCCAGGATACAAATATTTACCCACAATGTTTGCTTCTAAGTTTTATGTGTTAACTCTTACATTTAGGTCTTTGATTTATCCTGAGCCAATTTTTGTCTATGGTATGAGGGGGACTTCAAATCTTGCCTGAAATGGAGATGGGATTAAGAAGCTTTCAGATCAAACAGGAGATGGAGTGATTATAGGAGGAAGAGTGAGATATACGTTCTGGAAAGTAAGCAGTTCAATATGGCCAGAGGCTAAAGTATGCAGAATGTATTAGGAGTTATAGTGGACAGCAGTGGCCACACCAAAGGTGGTGAGGGTTGAGGGCTTTGTTTCTCCCGTGTTGTCCAACAGCCATCCCCTAGCCTCATAAAATAGAGACAGATATAAGGAAAAAAACAGTGTACTAGCTGGGAATTGCTTTGGACAAGACTCGCAAAGCCTCCAGATCTTCTTTCTTACCCCATAGCTCCTCAAGTGTAGAAATTCTAGAGCTTCTACTGCTGAAAACATTAATGGGGAAGAATTTATTTTTTCTACAGGCTGCCAGGAGCTTTTAAGCAGGGAAGCAACAATGGATCTTGGATTTTTAGGAATCTTGCAATGTGTCACAGTTCTCAACCTTGTTTCTAGTACACGAAACGGAGATTAATGTGCATATTACACTATGGGCTACCAACTGATCAGTTGCGTTATACATAGTTCCTGCTGCCCTAGGGTGCAGGAAACCATGAGTTGCAAAACATAAAGTAGAAGCTATAAGATTGGTGACTGATTGGTTGTAGCCAGTTAAGGACTCCCAGTTCCAGGACTGAACACCTTGGTGAGTCCTAGGGCCAGTGATGGGCATAAGGAGAATGGATAAAAGGCAGTTTATTTGTGAGGGGATGGAAATATTAATAGATGTAGATAATTTTGCACTTGTTGAGCTGGAAGTGCCTGTTGGGACACCAAGCAATTCCATCTACTTCATAGTTGGTATGACCCTAAAAGTCGGGAGATCTGAAATGGAGATGTAAATTTGGAAATTGTTATAGATGGAAAAAGGATAAGCTCACTCTCAGTGACTCATACCTGTAATTCCAGCTACTCAAGAGGCACTCCAGCCTGGGCAACAGAGAGAGACTCCATCTCAAAAAAACAAAAAGAAAAGAAAAGAAAAGAAAAGAAATGCCAAGAACATGCAAATCCATAGAGGCAGAAAATATTAGTGGATTAGTGGCTGCAAGGGCTGGGACATGGGGGTGAGGAGTGGGAATGGGAAGTCACTACCAAGGGGTGCAGGGTTTCTTTCTGGGGTAATAAAAATGTCTGGAAGTAGGACAGGTGCAATGGCTCATGCC